AGATAGCCCTCGTGTAGCTTTGCGCGAAATTCAAAACAAACAAACAAACTACTAAGTGATGTATGTAATAGTTCTTCTCGTTAAACCAGCCTTAGTACTAATAACTGATGGCAATGCCCATTTCCAGTACTAGAAGGACAATAGAATTATGAAAATATCGCTTCTCAATGTGCATTATTCAAAGCAAGTAGCTTTGAAAAACGAAAATGAGGATGAATTGTCATAAAAACCACAAGTATAAAAACGAGAAATTATAAATTATAGTGTCGCTATTTAATATCATCTAAACATAATATTTAGAACCTACTTACCTGTAAAAAATAAATTGTAGCTGTTTACGTAATTTTCAGCTTCAATACATTACAAAGAAAAAGTGTTGTAGACCCGAGAAAGAACTTTATATTTACACCTAATTCATGTAGGCAAAAGGCCTAAACCTGTTATGATATTAACAAGTGTATTACTTCGAAAAATATATGACCCTTTTACCTTGTAATAAATTTTATAAAAACTTTTAAAATCACCATAAAAAGTGGATACATTGTTCTAAAAACTAAGAACGTTTTTTTTTTTTCTTGTTTCGAATAGAAAGCGCAAAGCTTACACAAGGGCTATCTGCACTAGCTGTTCCTAATTTTGAACTGATAGAGTAGTAGGAAGGCAGCTTATCGACAATACCCACCGTCAGCCTTTGGGCTACTCTAATCGAATAGTCGGATTTGACTGCCACTTTATAACGCACTTATGACCTCAAAGTGCGGGACGCAGTTTTTCAGCGACAGGACACAAGTCATATATCTCCAGATTCACAGACCAGCGCTATAACACATGGTCAAGCTCGGACAAACCAAGAAGGCAGTCGTCGCTGCAGAAACATCTAGCTCTTGGTTTTAAACACAGTTTTTACTAGTTAGTATTATTATATCGTTTCTAGTTTAATATCATGATTAATTATCTTCCTCAAACCTTCAAATTATTATATCGTTTCTAGTTTAATATCATGACTAATTATCTTCCTCAAAACTTCAAATTATTATATCGTTTCTAGTTTAATATCATGACTAATTATCTTCCCCAAAACTTCAAATTATTAAATCGTTTCTAGTTTAATATCA